ACTCAAGAACCTCCACCTTCTCATCAACAGCTGGTATCCTTGCCCTCCTGAGGTCCCTTCGCTGGAAACCGGTGGTGCGTGAACTGTATCTCTCCCAGGTACGTCATACAACCTGGTCCGACATCCTGGTCCAGGTAGCTTATCTCAGTGTCAATAAAGGAGAATGAATCACAGTTACAATCACAAAGTTTTACGGCTGGGATTTGTCCAGAAACTGTGTTTGTAGTCCTGTTGAAACAGGATGTTTTATTGTCAAGGCTCACCTGAATGTAGTTGGTGCACATAGCTTGAGCATCTTGGGACACACACACACCCCAGGATGCCCCCACCCCTCTAGAGATTCCTGGAGAAAAACTTTCGATGAGTCCTGAAACTTTCTTGGTCTAGACTAACCTGCGACGGGAACATCGATGGGGAAACTTATTTGCCTCTTCAGCTCAGATGGTTCCTCATCTCCTCCTTCCCAACCCTTCTTCGCTGAAGGGGCAAGAGAGTCAATCTGGACGCTGAGGACTCTAGCTTCTCCCAGGGAATAGAACAGAATAAGAGAGTTGGAAGGGACCTTGGAGGTCTTCTACTCCAACCCCCTGCCTAGGAAAGGAAACCCTACACCACTTCGGAGAAATGGTTATCCAACATCTTCTTAAAGACTTCCAGTGTTGGAGCATTCACAACCTCTGGAGGCAAGTTGGTAGGCCTGACCAGAAGACCTTGAAGGCCCCGTCCAATCCTACGATTATGTGACTGTCAAGAAGCTCATCTAGGGAGGATCCTCTTGATCGGGATCTGATTTGACTTGGGTCAACCCAAAGAAGGCTATCTCAACCTCCCCCATCTTTGCAAGCTGCTATCCCTCCCCTGAAACCCCCCCCACTTGCATTTGGTTTTCATTTTTTTAACACAAACACACACACACCCAATGTGGCTGCAAGAGAAGCAAGGAATATCACATCTCAGTAGAACACGGAAGGGGTTAGAAGACGGAGCTCGTTCAGGTTGGCCAAGATTCTCTGGTATGGATCCGTTGGGCAATTTATTGAGTCCATTGTCCTTCCTTGATTGTTTTCTGCTCAGAAAGACTCTCATAAATCCATCCAGGTACTTTTTTCGGAGGCCGCCTTTCCTCTTCGGCTTAAATAGGAAGGTGGATTTTNTCCTCCTCCTCGGAGCAGCCACGGGACGGGACCGGGCGGCCGGCGGGCGGGGGAGGAAGGCGGCCGCAGCCCCCGCCCAGCCCTCGCCTTCACGCGCACGGAGAGCGGGAGGAGGAGGAGGAGGGAAGAGGGGAGGGGGGAGGAGGAGGAGGAATGACAGAAGAGAGGGAGGGCGGGAGAGAGGAGGAAAGGGGGAAGGAGGAAGAAGAGGAGGAGGAAAGAGAAAAGAGGGGGAGAGGAGGAAGTGGTGGAGGAAAGAGGGACAGGAGGGAGGAGGAGGAAAAGGGAGAGGAGAAAGGGGAAGAAGAAGAGAAGGAAAGAGTGGAGTGGGAGAGGGAGAAGAGGAAGAGGGGAGGAGGAAAGAGGAGAGGGAGATAGAGAAGAAGAGGAGGAGGGGGAAAGAGGGGAGGGAGAGAGGGATAAAAGGAGGAGGAAAGAGGGATGGGAGGGAGGAGGAGGAAAAGAAAAGGGAGAGGAGGAAGGGAAAGAAGAAGAGAAGGAAAGAGTGGAGGGGGAGAGGGGGAAGAGGGGAGGAGGAAAGAGGCGAGGGAGATAGAGAAGAAGAAGAGGGGGAAAGAGGGGAGGGAAGGGGAGGAAAGAGGGAGAGAGGAGGAAGAGGAAGAAGAAGAGAAGGAAAGAGGAGAGGGAGATAGAGAGGAGGGAGATAGAGAGGAAGAAGAGGAGGAGGGGGAGAGGAAGAAGAGGAGGAAGTACGTTCCTGCTGAAATGAGCCACCACTGAAGCTGAGGACCAAGGCCATCTCCCCTCCTGACTTTCATGGCTGAGCCCCATATCTCCCGGCTTCAAGGCGATGCGGGGTCCTGGGTTCTCCGTGAGCTTGGTGGCTTCCTTGCAGATGCTTCATTTCCCAACCAGGGGAAATCATCGTCATGGGGTCATGGAAGATCTGCAGGAAAGGCACTGAGCTCCCAGAGAACCAAGGACCCCACAGTTCAACCCTGAGCTCCACATGTTCTCTTCTGGTGATCCAAGGTAAGGTGGGAAGTCCAGGGAGAGCCCAGTCAACGTTGTGTTTTTGAACAAACCTCCCACTTGCGTCAAGAAACCTCCCCAAAGAATTGCCTTCCTCGAGAGTTTGGCTGTTTGTCTTTCCTTTCGGGTGTCCCAGTTCCCCCAGGAGAGAGAACTAGTCAATGGCAAGGACATCTCTGGGGTGATGTGCTGAGCCAATGCGCAGATTTGTTGACTGATCCGTTGGTTTGTTTCGTTGGCTATGCATGGTGTTCTAAGGAGTCTTCTCCAAGATCCAAGTTGGACAGCACCATCCTCTTCTATCCTGCTTCTTCGAAGCCCAGGTGAACCCCAGCGGACCCCTCCCCCCCAAAAGCATACATAGAAGACTTTTGAATGCTCTATCACCGTGATGGAACCCACCCCTGCTCTACGGCGGTCATAAATGTGGACCAGTGGCCAAGCTAAATTTCCCCACGTCTTGAAGTTGCCGAAGTTGGGAACTCTTGGGGTAGACTTTATAAGTGCTTACTCAAGAGTTTACATAACACGCCAAGCCTCTTGGGAACTTTGAATTACCTGGCCCAGTGGGAGAGCGTCTGCGTGGCTGTGCTTATTCAGTGCTGCCAACGTACTTATAATTTATTCATGGTTTAGTACAGATAGTCCTTGACTTACTACCACAATTAAGCCCAAAATTCCCATTGTTAAGCGAGTCACTCATTATGTCAGGGTTCCAAATAGCCTCCAAAATTAAATCAGAGTCCAAGGCAAAGGATTCCTGAAAGTCCCAATTGATGAAGAGAGCCACGTTGGCACATCTGGGAAAACGCGAATCTGAAAGCTTCCCGGTTTCCCCCACCAGGTTGAAAGTTCAAGATCTTGCCCCCTATACCCACAAGTCCATCCCATGGCCCAATCTCCCACTGCCATGAAAACAGATTCCTCCCATCCAGTTCCGGTCAGGTGCAAAGACAAAGATGACCTTCGCTTTCTAAGAAGAATGTTGTTATGGCTACATATCTCCCATGCTCCATACAATCCCCCCCGCCCAGTTTCCCAAAGTAGAATATGTTCGAATATGTGGCAGGCTTGAGGCCCACTGTAAAAGACGGCTTCCAAGCCTGACACGTTAAGTGAGCTTTGCCTCATTTTACGAACTTCCTTGCCACCGCTGTTAAGTGAATCACTGCGGTTGATAAAGTTAGTAACCCCCTTGTGAAGTCAACCTGGATTCCCCCATTGACTCGGCGTGCCAGAAGGTTGCAAAAGGGGATCGCACGACCTCGGGACGCAGTTTGTAAGTATGAAGCCATTGCCAAGAGTCTGAATTTCAGTCATGTGACCACGGGGATGCTGCGAAGGTGGTAACTCTGAAAAATGGCCATTAAGTCCCTTTTTTAATGCCGACGTAACTTTGGAATGTCACTAAATGAACAGTTGTAAGTCGAGAATTACCTGTACACCCTATCCAGATGCCCAGATCTTTCTCACAAGTAAGATTGTGGAGACAAGACTGCCCATCTCATAACTGGGCATCCTCTTATCTCATATTTTAATTACCGTAATTATCGAACTATAAAACGCACCAGTGTATAAGACGCACCAACATTTCCAAACTCTTTTAGGGGGGGAGAGGTGCATCTTATACTCTGAAAAATACGGTATCCTTTTTCTTAAGCTGTGTTTGGTTAAAGGGGATTTCTGCTCAATTGTGGCAAGATGCCTCTGAACCCTCAGCCTCTCTTGAAGGGAGTCGGGGTCCCCTTTCCCTTCGGAGGGTCTTTCTATTTGTTGAGCACCTTTTTCTATCCTAAGAATGGATTTATTTTTTCCCCCCCCTAACCTCACTGAAACGATGTCGACCAGCACCGGAGCCAGGTCAAAACCCTGGCCTATCCCACTGCATGGATTTTAAAAACTTTAGTCAAATTAAATTTTTAAATTGCTTTAGGGGGGGGCTAAGGATTTTCCTAGATTCTTCAAGTTTTTCATTTAACTTTGACGCAGAAAATGGCAACCCTGAGTATTATCTGCACGGATTTATTAAAATAAGCATGTAGCAAACGGTCTCCAGGGACTTACGCAGCAAAGCTGCACCTTTCATTCGGAATCATTTTCATCTGTTCTTCCATAAACCAACATTTCTGATACCTCCAGTGGGCTAAAAATATCCGCCTTTTTCTTACCCAAAAGTGCTAAGGCTGGCTGTTAAATTCCACAGTGCTTCCTGACGAGTGGATGATTCACCTCGCCGCTTTATTTCATTTTAATCTCTTTTTCTTGGAACGAAACCCCCGATGTTTTATCATGTCTTCAGCCAAGTCTGTTTTCTCAGGCAAAACGGGGCACGGAGGGAGAAGGTCCAACTGAGTCTCACGCTGCATTAGAGAAATGTTGAGGTGAGGAGTTGCATTTCAGAGTAGCATGAAGAGTTAAGGCCGGGAAGGCATCACCTGCCCAGCTGCAAGCAAAGTTGGCTCTGTGGGAGGAAAGTTCTTGAAAGGAAAAACGGTTTCCGGCCAACAAATTGAGAATTTGTCCAGGAAACCACATCAGTTCTAAAGCAAAGTTTCTCAAGCTCAGCCACGTTAAGACGGGTGGACTTTTAACTCCCAGGATTCCCCCAGGCAGCCAACACTCCCCCACTATAGTTAGTACTTCTATATTCAAATATGTTCTCCGTGGAGTATCTGCAGCAGAAAGGCATTGCAGGAAGGGAGAGAAAAATCTGCTCCCCCAAGGAAAAAAATGGCTCTCACCTGTTTGGCTACTTCTGGTTGCAATGCTAAATGGGCTCTTCTGCCACCAGGTGGCGCCATTCCATAACCTACATTCCAGGTAGATTTTGCACAAAGCNTCACTGTTCAGACGTCCCTCTGAAGGTTGAACTGCAAAGTTGCCTCACCGACCTTGCTGATCCATTAATCAGGTTCTTAATTTAATTTAATTTAATTTATTGAATTTATAGGCCGCCCAATCCCGGAGGACTCTTCTCTGCTTGCCTGATCTATTGAATCCGGTGAGATCTACTCCCAGGTAAGCAGGTTGGCAACTGAACCCAGAGTTGAGTTTCTTTCCAAAAACTGTCCACTGCCTGATTCCTCTACCCTGGGAACGTTTTGTCTCCACCCATCCAGGGATTGTCTTCTGAAACACAAATATGCTTCACCTAACCCACACCGGGACATCTAATCCACATCTCCTTTGTGAAGCTGCTAAAAACCTCACGTCTTCTAAAAGGTCACCGAACTAGCTAAGAAATCTCTCTCTGCTTCAGCTTCCTCCTGTTGGTTGATAGCTGTGATACGGAGGGCCACACCTCTGGAGCGAAGAGATGGGCGACCCTGGGCAAATGGGAAGGCGGTTGCTCTCACCCAGCCCCGCCCCACCTGAACTCTACACCTGCAATTCGTGACAGCTCTCAGGTTACACCTGCGAACAAGCCAGCCAGATATGAGGAAGGACTTCAGAGCTCAGGTGAACCACCTGTTTCCAGGAGATGCTGAGTGAAACACAACCGCTTTGAGACTTCCAGAGGAAGCAGAGATTTTGGATGTCAGGAGCTGGGGAATCTGTTGCTCTCTGAAGCCTGGAAGATGCATTTGGATAAAAGGTTCGTGTGTCAGATTCCACACCTGCTGGCACTGGGGACTCTCATGCTGCTGGCCACGGCCATGCTGAAGTACAGCCGTTGGCAGTGTGACCCCAGCTACCTGGAGAGACACCCCACGGACCCCCGGGGACAGTTCTGCAAGGACCAGTTCTACCAGTCGGTGAGGCTCCCGCCCATGGAGAACATCAGCTGCTCTGAGATCATCAGAGGGGACACGAAGGCTATGGAGGCCGCTCTGGTGAGCAAGGTGCAGTGGAAGAACAAGCGGTCGGCCCTGGATGAGAAGTTCTACTTGAACCTGACCCAGGATTGTCAGACCTTCAAAGAGCGGAGGAGATTCATTGGGTTCCACCTGAGCGAAGAGGAAGAGAACTTCCCCATCGCTTATTCCATGGTGGTCCACGAGAAGATCGAGATGTTTGAAAGGCTCCTGAGAGCCATCTTTGCTCCTCAGAACGTTTACTGTGTCCACGTGGACAGCAAGTCTCCCGAACCTTTCCAAAAGGCCGTCCGGGCCATCGCCTCCTGCTTCGACAACGTTTTCCTGGCTTTTAAGCAGGAGAGTGTGGTGTACGCCTCTTGGTCGAGGGTCCAAGCCGACCTGAACTGCATGAAGGACCTGCTTCAAAGCAAGGTCCGCTGGAGGTACCTGCTGAACACCTGCGGGACCGACTTCCCCATCAAGACCAACACGGAGATCGTCCGGGCCCTGAAACTGCTCAACGGGAAGAACAACATGGAATCCGAGAAACCTTCGTCCTATAAAAGGAACCGCTGGAAATACCACCACGAAGTGACCAACACCATCGTTCAGACCAAGACGACAAAGGGCCCCCCGCCCCACAGCTCCCCCATGTTCACGGGCAACGCCTACATCATAGCCACCAGGGAGTTTGTGCAGCACCTCTTCCAAGACCCAACCGCCAGGCGCTTGATAGAGTGGTCCAAAGACACCTACAGCCCCGATGAGCATCTTTGGGCCACCTTGCACCGCATGCCAGGGGTGCCCGGCTCGGTCCCTTATAATGACAAATTCGATCTCACGGACATGAACGCCATTGCCCGGGTGGTGAAGTGGGCCTACAGCGAAGGGGACGTCAGCAAGGGAGCCCCTTACCCCCAGTGCACCGGAGTCTACCGGCGGGCGGTCTGCGTCTATGGGTTTGGGGACCTCCGCTGGCTGCTCTCACAGCACCACCTCTTCGCCAACAAGTTCGACCCCAGCGTGGACAACTGCGCCCTCCAATGCCTGGAAGAGTATCTGCGCCACAAGGCCATCTACAGAACGCCCCTTTGAGCGTGGCCCTCCGCACCCCTCAAGAAAGGGAGGCGAGGGGGATCCCTCCCACGGCAGGACACACAAGTGGTGGGTCAATTGTGCCCCTTTGAATACCTTCAGCATTCTGGAGGCCTTTGTGGCCCCAGAGCTGACGTTCAGGGAACATGGGAAACCACAAGGTAGGGAGATCATTCCACTCCCCCCCCCCACACCCCGGGGCAAAGGGAGGCAGGGGGCTTGCGCAACCCCACTCGTTCGGTTTCAGCAGAACTGGCAGCGTGAGTTAGATTTATGAGTCATTCTCCTGGCCTGCTGCGTCGTGTTTCCTTGTGGGGAAAAATGTGTGTCTGATGGAACAAATGTATCTGGACTCCGACCTCAAGCGTTTTTTAAGGGATGGTGGGAAGGAGGAGGGGGCATTTGCTCATCTGGCC